TTAATGCTTGGGAATTTTTTTTGGTCGCAACATTTTGTGTATTAAAATAACAATTTGAACGATGAAAATTTCGTTTTAACCATCTATCTAGATTAAGTGCTTGTAAAAAAAATATATAAGCGTAAATTTTTGCGAATTATTAATTAACATCTTTATTAATTATGACATGAAATCTTCAATTCAAAATTTAAACAAATTAAAGTGTAAACTAGATGATCGTTAGAGGTGTAAGTTGGAGTTCAGGGTTCAAATCGTAATAAACACAAACACACGTAGGCGTCATTTTGCAATTTCCCATTTTTTAGATCAATATTAAGAGGGTGTTTGGGATTGCTTATATGAAACAACTTATATGATTTTTCTATAAAAGCACTTATCAACTTATTATAAGTCAGAAGACTTTAATTTCTTCAAAAACTCCTTATTACCGGTTTGACACCGGTATAAATTGTTTATCCAAACCCCCAAAAGTGCTTATTATCGATGTCACACCGAAGTAAGTTAATAAGTTGTTTTTATAAGCAATCACAAACACCCTTAAATAGAGAAAGATCAATGAATTTTTTTGGGGAAAATACACAGACTTGGTGCAAGTGGGAAGTAGAGTATGTGTGATGACATCTGAAAGCTAGTTTAGAGGTCATATTAATAAACATTATACTTTGTAAATTGAATTGAATTGATAATTACACAATCACTATGAGGTATATATACACAATTTGAAAAAATAAAAACTATATCTTAAAGATTACAAAAATCAATTACTCTATCGTAGAGATTACAAAAGTAATTACATGAGATGTGAACAGGGAATAGATCAAGGGACATGATTTTTGTGATCAAGAGAGAGATGATTTGATGTATCTATATCATGCTCCCACAAAATGGACAGTTGAATAGTGAAAGCGATCTTGGACATGAGCTCAAGAAACCATGTCCGAGTAAGAGGCTTAGTGAGAATATCGACAAGCTAAGTGTTTCCAATAATGTATGACACACGAACTTGTAGGTTTTGAACATTTCCACGAACAAAATGATAGTCAAGTGCCAAGTGTTTCATTTTAGAGTGGAATTTTGGATCTGTGGCAACATTTGTAACTCTCATGTTGTCACAATAAATGACTGGTTTGTTTGTTGGCAGATATCCTGTAACACCCCAGTTTCACATTTGCATATAAACGTATATTTTCATATATCAAGAAATATAACTTTACTATTATGGTCTCAAATATATTCAAAAGCTAAAATACACAATTAGCTACCAAATTTTCCGTGTAACTTAGTACAACAAATAATCAGTACAAAAGAAAACACAACTTCCCAATCTCCCATGCAAGCAAATATAAAATCTTCATAACTTTTCTTTCCTCTTATTGTTTGATTGTGCCTAACCTGTAACGCACATTTTGAAATACAAATGAGGGCTAGTGAGAAATCACTTCTTAGTGTCATTGCAGAGTGAAAATCACCAAAACAACTTTATATGAAAAATATTTTATTAAATATATCATAAAATATGACTTAATTTAACAAACCTTCTTTTATTGCATCATAAAGATGAGCTAACTCCATTTTATCGCATTGAACAATATAATGAACAATTTATCGCATCAAACTCATCAACTTATCACATTTAACATATACATAAGTAATAAAGTTGTCGCATCCAACAGATGCGATAACAATAACTTATCGCATCACACACATACGATAAACCACACTTGTCGCACCTTGAAGATGTGATAAACAACCTTATCGCATCCAACAGATGCGATAATAGTAACTCCTTGCATTATACTAGTGCGATAAACCCAATATGTTGCATCTTATTAATGTGATATTCTCAATTCATCGCATCCAACAGATGCGATATAACCAACTCATCGCATCACTCTAATGCGATAACAAGTTAACAACCCATGATCAAAGATCATCATTTTCAGAAATTGATTATGCCTCTCTTATACCAATATACCAGCTTCTGATTATGCCACCTTTATTACAAAAATATACCCAACTCCAGATTTTGCCACCCTTATTACCAATTTTCCCAACTCCTGATTATGTCACTCTTATTACAAACAAATGATAATAACCCATCAAAACCCAAAATTTTGCTAATATTTAGCATATAAACACCTTCAATTCTCAAGTATGAAATCATACGGTTTCTTCACCAAAAGTAAATAAATGATGTTTTTAAAATAAAACTTACCTTATAAACACGAAAAGATGAAAGCTTTAACAACAACAAATTTCAGCTAAGAACACAGAATCAGTCTCTTCTTCCTTCTGTTTTTCTTCGAACCACATAATAGATTGAACTCAAAAGCTTCTCCCTTTTTTCATTCTAAAACCGGATATATGAGATAAGGATCACACACACACACACGCACATAATTAACTCATAACACTCTTTTAAAATATAAGGCGGTGGGTTATTTAAAAGAACTTTCAAAACAACCCTTAAACTTTTACCACATAACCCAAACAACCCTCAAACTTTCCAAAAAAATAAACCTGGTTATCACATGTACGAACTTACGAAGTAATTTTTGAACCTATAAGACCTCTGCAGTAGTTGCAACAATGATTCAATACTCAGCTTCAGTTGATGATCGAGAAAATGTTTGTTGTGTATGGGAACTCCAAGAGATAGGATTGTGACCCAAATAAAAAATATAGCCAGTTGTAGAAATATAGTTATCTTTATCACCCGGCCTAATCAACATCTAAAAGGACATGGATAGTACTAGAGGGGGAGGCTTGACGAAGTAGTAAACCTTGACTGGTAGTTCCTGCAAGATATCGTAATAACCATTTAAGAGCGGCTCAATGATCGTCAGTAGGCATGTGCATGTATTAAGATAACATGTTCATAACAAAATAGATGTCTATTCTATTTAAAGATAACTATTGTAGGCTACCCACAAGTGCTCGGTATTCAATGGGGTTTGTCAGAGGAGTTCTGATGTGAGTGGATAAAAAGGGTTGGGTGGCCATGGGAGTTGGCATGGTTTTGGCATTTGACATATGAGCACGAGTTAGAAGGTCTTGTATATATATTTGTGTTGGCTAAGAAAGATGTCTGTAGAACGGGGTAACACTTCCATACCAAGAAAGTAAGAGAAATTATCAAGATCTTTAAGTGAGAAAGGAGAGAAGAATTGAGATCTGAATATGTTTAAGAAAGTGGAATTGGAGTCAGTGATAATAATATCATCAACATAGACAAGTAGATAGATAAGACCAGAACTGTGACGGAGAATAAATAAGGATGCATCAGAAATGGCATTTTTGAACCCAACAGTTTTTCAGATGTTATTTTGTAGGCGAGTTATAGGCAGATATAGACGTGGTGAGGGAGTGTTGATGATGAATCTTTCGGTGGGTTATGGGGTTCAAATGTAGGATCTCCAGAAGAAGAATCGGAAGAAGGGATTTCTAGCATGGTTTGTGAGAGGACAACGATTTCAGTTGGGGGTGTATTGGACATAATAGGAAGTTGAAGTGCACACCACTCGTCTGTTTTAATGCTAGCTTATAGTTACCTTTTTAACGAATTTATAATTCAACACTTCATTTTTTTTGTGTTAAACTTTTTTTCTATTTTCTTTTTATTATGACATTTATTTTTATTCTATTGTGTTATTATCATTATTATATGTTATATTGTATATTTTAAAAAATCGATAATTTTGATAAATCATAGTAAAAAAATTATTTTTTTCTTTTTCTATATGATATTTCTTATTTTAATTTTATCTATACTATATTATAAAACCTTTAATAAAACTCTTAAAAATCATCTTTTATGCATAAAATACTATATAGTGATGCATATTACTTAAAATTCAATCTCACAAGTTGATTGTGTGTAAGTACAACTTATTAAAACTCAATGTTTGAATTCGTGTAACTAACTGCAGATAAATATAATCAAATACATGATAAATATCTCATTTATTTTATATAAAAAATCTAAAATATAATTAGGATAATCATTGATTTCTAATAGAATATTTAATTATTATATTTATAATAAATATATTATTAAACCAAAAAATAAATTACTTCGTTATGAAATCTAAATTAATTTATAGTAAAAAATTGAATTAAATTAATTACATAAAAAATAAGAACTTTTAAATAGTTAATTTGATATTAATATTAATATTTTTTTTTCCGAATTTTTATAAGATCTTCAAATTTAAATTTTAAAATCGAGATGAATCTCACTGCATTGCACGAATATCATTCTAGTATTATATAAACCGTAAACGATCCATGATTAAAATGTACATACGCTCTTAAATTTTTATTTTATATTCATGATTTTAAATACTTTATATTTTTATAATGAATAACTTGTTATTTTTCAACAACCGAAAATTAAAGCATATTTTGATTTCCTATAAAAAATAACATTGATAGTGACAAAGAATAAAACGAAATATTAAAATCGAGATGAATCTCACTGCATTGCACGAATAYCATTCTARTATTATATAAACCGTAAACGATCCATGATTAAAATGTACATACGCTCTTAAATTTTTATTTTATATTCATGATTTTAAATACTTTATATTTTTATAATGAATAACTTGTTATTTTTCAACAACCGAAAATTAAAGCATATTTTGATTTCCCATTAAAAATAATATCTAAAAGTCAAAAATAGGTTTTAATATTAATACATAAATTAAAATTATAAATAAGACTGGATGGTAAATAAAAAAGAAAAATAAATATAAAAAATGGTTGCATGGCCGCATCCAATTCCATTATCGACCTTGTCGTAATACCATGTCCCATCAATTTGTTGTTTGTGTTGTGTGTCAAAAAGGAGGTACAAAACAAACATGGACGATGATGACGTCATCCACTCACTTATCACTTCACTCTATAAATACCTCTTCAATCCACATCCCTGCTTCCTCAAAAACCTCCCATAAAAACTCAAAATATATATATAATCAGAAAAAGGAGATTTGGAGATGACATCAGCGGTGCCGGTGAAGGGGACAACAAGCGGCGGCGGCGGTGGTAGTGGAAGCCGGTGGTGTCCGACGCCGGAGCAGGTGATGTTGTTAGAGGGAATGTATAGAGGTGGCCTGAAAACACCCACGGCAACCCAGATACAGCAAATCACTGGAAGGCTATCGATTTATGGCAAAATACAAGGCAAAAATGTCTTCTATTGGTTTCAGAATCATAAAGCTCGAGATCGCCAAAAGCTTCGAAAGAAATTAATGGCGTTGTACCACCAACATCGCCTTTACCCTACTCATGATCATCATCCTTTTCTTCCCACTCTTCATCCGCAGGTAATTAATCAATCAACTAATTTCTGATAGGACTTCTTAGACTTGATTATATATATACACACACACACTGACACACACACTTGGGTTTCTTGTTTACATTCATCGTTTTTGGAACGTCTGGTTTTCTTGTAGAGGTCTGATTTTATGGAGATGATGGTGTCTTGCTACTTTCTTGATTTTCTCTTTGTTTGTATCTGATTTTTTCCTTTTGTATAGCAGACATAAATGCTTCTCCTTTTTCTTTTATTTAACTTTGTCTTACAAAAACTTGAAGAAAGGAATATATATATATATATATATGTATGTATGTATGTATGTTATGAACAACAATTAAATTATATGCATTAAAAAATTGACTTTCAATGCATTTTTAAGATGATTTAATTAAAGTATATTAAATTCCATTTACTAATTTTATGTGTGTGATATATAGGGTGGTGGAGTTGAAGATGCATCAAACTGTAAAGGAATGATGGACAATTGGAAGGTGGATCTCCCATCAAATCAAACCTGCAAATTCATGTGTGATTGCCCACTTATGTCAATGATGATGATGGATAACCATGGTACAACTCCATATTGCACAAGAGTACCTCCCAAAACCCTGCAACTCTTCCCAGTCACCACCACAGATCTCAAAGATGATGATGACCATCATCAGTTCACCATCACCACCAAACCCTAGCCTACTTTTGACTTCTGTTATATCTTGGTTTCCAACTGCGAACCCACGAGAGCCAAGGCCAAAAACCAATCCTGGTTCTGATCTTGATATAGTAGTAAAAGGTGAAAAAGTAAGCAGTTAGCTAGGTAGGGTTAGGGTTAGGGATTAGGGTTAGGTTTAAAAATAAGTTGTGGGTTTCTGTTATGTCACTAGACCTTTGCATGGCAGGCAGTACTGGTACTATATATAAAGAAAGATGAAAGATCTGAATTGCCTAATAAGCTAGCATTCAGTATGTTTTCTAGATGAAAATTGAAGTGTCGATTTCACATTCTTGGAGTATGCAGTGGGATTGGCAAAGCTTTCTTTGTTTGGTTATGGTGGTGTGTTCGTATTTTGTGTTTTGAAATTTTCCTTCATATGATCACAGCGTTAGACACGACACACTAAACAATACACACACATACATACACACACACAGAGCAGACATACAGTACCTAAGGTTGGTGGCAAAGTTTCAGATGGTCATCAGTGCTTTATGATTTACATAGACATGTCTTTAAAAAGTCAGCATTAATTTACTTGTCTTACAAGACTGTCAGCAAAGTAAAGTCAATTACATTGGATGCAAATCTTAATGCAATTTCCACACACTAAAATCCACCAATAACAACAATTTACAACTCTAAATCTATCTTTAAATCTTCAAATCTGTGTGTATATATATATACATATATATATATATGTGTGTGTGTGTGTGTTGTGTATGTATGTATATATATACACACACACACAAACACCAAATGAGAGTATACAGTTCTTAAGTATGGAACATGTCATTAAGTCATAGTACCAAAACTTTTGTCGCATATCTTACTTTGTTACTACACAAACCGTACTATATAAAGATTCGTCTTTACTAGAATATTGATAGATGCTTTTAAAGCATGTATAATAGTATTTTGTGACAAAAACAGTTTGTACTGACTTAATGAAAAAGCTATACATATCTAATTGTAAAATAAGCTTTTAGAAGCTTCCATTTCATCTTAAAAGAGCTACGGGAATTAAAGTATATCGATTAAGAAGTTCCATGTACAACTTCCTTTTGGAGTTTGTGGGTCTTGATCTAAAAAGCCTACTTCGAAGTGAAGTTGTTTAGTTACTTCGTACGTACCTTTGTGCAATACGATATACGTACATCATATCAAGAGATAGGGCCGACTTCTTTTGTTAACCATGTAATTGGTGTTAACTTTGTGAATCGGGTATTTTCGTGTTTTTTTATATATTGATATTACATTCATTAATTATCACATTCCATAATTTATTTGTCTGTTTCTAAAATTTGAAATTTTCAACTTAGAATCTTCTTTTTCTATAAATAATTCATACCACAAACCGAATCTTGCAAGAAAAAGAACTTGTATGAACTTTAAACAAAAATAATTGTTTTACCTAAAAACTTTTTGGTTTCAACTGTAAACTTGGTTTAAACTTTCTTAGTTATCTTGTTCACTTTATGGTTTCACCTACGAATTTTGGTAAAAAAAACTTGGAATAACTAATGTTCATACATAAAACAACATTATGAACTTTAAACAAAAATAATTGGTTCACTTATGAACATTGTTAAAACTACATGTAATTATTTCATTTATTATCTCATTTGACCTATAAACTTTGGTGAAAAAAATTGGAATAATTTAAGTTTATACATAAAAAGAAAGAAATTTAATTTAAGAAATAACCGAATTTAAGGGATAACTGGAAATTAAACTAAACTGAATGGATAACTGGAAATATAAACCGAATCTAAAAGGTAGATAGAATTAAATTGAATCTAAAATATAAATAGAATTAAAACGTACCGAATTTAAGGAATAAAGGAAAGAAATTTAATTTAAAAAATGACTGAATTAGTCAAGTTGGTAAACCACTCGATATCTTCGTGTTTGTTTTTCTTGCCTCAAACTTTAATATCTTTGCATTGTATGTTTATATGTGAAGTGAAAAACTTGAGAACTGTACGGTTTCACCAAGAAGTATCATATAACTACACGAACCCTCCATACCCATGACATGGATGTTAACTAGCGAGATATAACATGTAACATATACATATACATATACATATACATATACATATACATATACATATACATATACATATACCATGGCACCATGCTAAGTAAAATTAAGCTTTCAAATGTTAATTAACTAACAGTCATATATATCATTGAGTTCAGTACTCACGAGTTTAGTATTCGCTTGGCCTTACTCACATTCATGGTCCATGTGACCTTACATGCAAGTTCACATTCCGTTTAGACTTGCATGTTTTCACTACCTAGCTGGGACAGACCCATAGCAGTGGTAACTGGGGTGGCACGTGCCACTGTATTATTCTTCCGTGATAAGGTAAAAAAACATTATGTTCGTGAAAGATGCAACTGTTTTATATGGTGCCACCATATCCAAAAATTCTTGGGTCCGCCCCTGCTACCGAGGTAATATATCATGCTCACCCGTTCGTTCATGCATTTCAAGTCAGATTCATCGCATGGTTGTATCATCGCCTAATGTTTTCTTGCACACAAAATGATGTCAATATAATTTAATTCGTTTTAGTAGCACCAAAACATGAATTACCAACATGCATTTCTAGTCATAACTCTTAACTCTTATCATGCTTAAACAACCTTTTCATTACCATGATGTGCATTAATCACGACTAGAAAATTGTAAAAACAACCCGGTTGCAATATGATATACCACGCACCCACCCGGTTATGTAATCGGGTCCTATCACACTACAAAAATGAAGAGTATCGACGACGGAAAATTTCGTCACAAATCCAACGCTAAAGGCTTAATTTATCGTTGATCATCCGTCGGTCAAAAGCTCGTAGGTAATGCTATCAGCGACGGATCAACGATGGGTCAGATTTGTGACGGATTAGCGACAGAAAACATTCAGCGACGGATTTGCGAACAGAAATGTTTCAACGACGGATTCTTTTAGCGACTGATTAGTGACGAATTCTTTTAGCGACGGATTAGCAAGGGACTTCTTTCAGTGACGGATTGGCGAGGGAAATTTTTCAACGACGGATTAGCGAGAGACCAGAAACTTTTAGCAACGGATTTTTCATCACTAATCCGTCGCTAATTTTTAAATATTTAAAAATAGATAATTTATAATTACATAAATCCTATATTTATTTATAGAAAACTTGGTCATAAAATAACAAATCATAAATCTCAACAAATTAAAACTAATCAATTCTTACAATTTTAAATATCCAATGGATACAATTTAATGTTCAAATTCATACAATCTAACTACTGGAAGGTGGGGGAGGGGGGAAACCGTATCATGACTGCCGCATAAACGCAACGTGCTTGGCCAAAAATCAGTTCACTCGCTAATCCGTTGCTGATCAGCGAGGAATCTGGGAGGAAAATGGTTTTTGGCCTATCCGTCGCTGATTTGTGATGGATTTTTTCCCTCGCTAATAACCGTCGTTGATACTCTATTTTCTAGTAGTGTCAGGAGGAGGTAGTAATGTCACGGTTATACTACCCGGTTGTTCTTGCCTAATGTCTCGTTTTATTATTCCACGAGGTAGTATTTAGTTAGGGAGATGCTTGAAGGTTGCTTTATATATATATATATATATATATATATATATAGGGGTCTATTCAAGGGAGAACTGAGTTGTTTGTGGTAACTGTGAGAACCAATCTCAGCCACAAATCAATAGATAAATTAGGAGATTTATAATTTTGGTAATTTTTAATTAAAATTTTAATGCAAGGACATTTTAGGTATTTTCTCTCCTCTCTTCTCTCTCTGTCCCCGTCTTCCGGCCACCGTCCTTCGGCCTCCGGCCACCAGCCTCCAGTAATACCACAGTGTGATACTCAAGCACATATAAGATGCATTGTGATACCACTGTGTTACATATCCGATCGACCGCACAAACGACCACATTGTGATAC